TATCTTTTAAATTTTGCTTATTAATTATTATTATTATTATTATTATTATTATTATTATTATTATTATTATTATTAATGTAGTTCTTTTTTTGTGATTTTAAAAGTCAAGCTCTGAATCTTCAACTAATAATTCTCCTTTGTGCTCAGCTATTGGTTGGGTGGGAGGGGGAGGATAAAAATAGTAACGAGTGAATGATGCAATGGTTACCTTTGCTATTAATAGTAACACGTGGGCCTACAGTGCAGTCTTTGAGTGTTGCCTTCTCCTCCAGTCGGACTTGATTGCATAAAATTGAGTTTTGAATTGTGCAACTGAAAGAGAGAGAGATAAAGATTTAAAATCATTTTCATAAATATCTAACAAGCTTAAAATTAAAGCACATACATCTGATACATATGTACTTACATTGCGTAGAAAGTTTGAACTGATTCTGATCAAACTTTTTTATAAATTTCTTAAGTTGCTGAAAATCAGGCCAAAGTCCCTGTACAGGGTGTTTGGCCAAATTTTGCCAAAAATAAAAAGGTAGGAAATGTCCATTTTTATAATTTTTTTCTGATACATTATACATGTTCTGTGTGTAGAAAGTTTGAGCTAGTTCTGATCAAAATTGGATTTTTAATGAATTTTTAAAATCACTCAAAATATTGAGCAGATACAGTATTATGTATCATAATTCATTTGTACCTTTCTCCAATGACCACATGATCCATAATTACTGAATTGATGACTTTAACTTTCTCTCCAATCACACAGTGTCTCCCTATCATTGACCTCTTAACTGATACTTTATCTGATAGCTGAGTACTCTCATCAACCACTGAGTCACCACTGATTGCCTGCAACACATTATTATTATTATTGTTATTATATCATAAATAAATGGATAGTATTTTAACAGTAATATTTTTCTTAAAAAACTACAGTGTATACATACATGTACATGCATACAATTTATTGATTTGGGCATGGTACACATGTACATGTACATGTATTTCAAATTCAAATTTAAGAATTATACATAATACTGCGGCCACTGTACATGTAACAATTTCAGTCTAAACTTTTTAAATAATAATAATTAAAGAGCCTTATCCATTTTTAATATGTTAATAATTGAACTTACACTTGACTTTATTCCTTGTCCACTTGTTCCAGAGTCCAACATGAAACTTGACGAGTGCTGTCCTATCTAGAGAAATATTTCAGAGACAAATGAATTAATATTCAGAGCCAAGTGAAGTAGCCACAACATTAGGCATTTAGTAACTTTAGGGCCAATAAGACTCATAATGTCCCATATCAAAGATTGAAAACAGGTTTGGTTATAATTATTATTAAATTCATTAATAATATTATTTCTTGTATTGGCGCAACTAATGTACATTAATATTAATAAAGCTATAAATAGAGTGGCCATTAATTTAATGGACATTAATAATTTATTGTAATAATAAATTTAATTTAATGATTAATTATGATCCACTCCGACACACGTCACTCACCATCCTATTAGCCTCCATATATAGTGATACGGTGTTGACTCTAGTGCATAGTTCAGCTCCACTAATTGTGTGGGCGTGGCACTGGGTGGGGGAGGGGACGGGAGAGGAGGAGTATTGCGAGGCCAACTTGTCAATATCGTCATGGAATCTCTCAGAAAACTGTAATAGAACTGACAAGATATATATTACAGGTACTGTAAGTTTTTAGAACACAAAAGTTTTCTCTACTCAGTTCTAAAGCATAAAATTTTATAGGGTTCTCAATTTGCAGATTTCACAATCCTTGAAAATTGAATTAGATTTTCGGCAAATGAGTTTGGACAAATTCATAATATTTATGACCATCAAAAGTGAAAAGTTTTATAAATTAAATTATTTTGTAAATTAAATTAGGCACAAATTTTTTCTCTAATTACAT